GGTGGTGTCTATGTACTTGTGACCACGCTGTGTACATATACAGCGGCTTTGGACGCGAAACTTCCTCTGTTGGGAAACACACTGAATAACTTGGTGATAAGTTTAAAGTTTTTTTATATAAAGCTACCGATTCACCTGGTTAAGCGTTTACGTTTTTATTATTTTCTTTAAAGAAAAAAAAGACTGTCCTGTGACTTACGCAGATGAGTGCACACAATAAGAACCCCTTAGGACTTGACCACAAGCACAAAGGTATTGCTCATCTCGGAGGCGATCTGATTAGAAGTGACAAGCATGAGTATTTTAAAACATCTTTCTCTGTTACTTTCATATTAACGACTACGTTCCATACGTAAAGCTCAACGCATCTTTCTCTGCAGTTTGAGAGATCATAGGTTAGTACGACGAGAAGAAGGTGGGGGAAGGCATGCTTGACCTATCATCCTTATAACTCACGTGCACGAGATACACAGGTAACCACTTTCTACTATTAGCCATTTATCTATCTAAGGTCAATCCAATATTGGAAACTATAATTTTGTTTTTTGATATCAACTTTGTTAGGAAAATAATCAGTGAAATAAATACAGGAGGTTTCTCATTAATTACGTCTAAACAGACAGTAATCGGAGACCGAGGGTTGTGTGCATAAGATGAAGTTAAAATTTTAAACAAGCATCGACTCTCGTGTCTTCCGGTAAAGGTTTTGTTTGTTTTTAATTATGCACAAAGCTACATAAGGGCTATCTGTGCTCTGCCCACCACGGGTATCGAAACCCGGTTTCTAGCGTTGTAAGTCCGCAGACATACCACTGTGCCACTGGGGGGCCCGGTAAAGGTTGAGCTAGTTGAGTAACAAGTGAAGTTGCGCAAAAACGCTGCATCTTTAGATTTAAGGATAAATAATTGAAATATTGATAATGAACTTTATATTGTATGTGAACAACACAGATTAAAGAAAACTAAAACATGTTATATCTTACCAACAAAGAATTATCAAAATCATTATATCCTTTAAGTCATTAAACCACTACCTCAAAAAAAAAAGGAGTTACGGAGTTAGTTAGGCCCTTGGTCATATGCTAATTTTATACGTATAACGTACTTTCTATATATATATTTATATAAAAATGAAAGGGTCAGTCGCATCCTTCGAAAATGCACTCTGAAAACACGAAAATTCTGTCAAAAGTCCAAAAATTATCTTGACTTCTGAGAGCATATATTCGAAATCTGTGTTGAAGCGAAGAAATTAATAGTGTCAAAACCAATATATCGTCTGCCGAAAGAAACAGTTGCGTATTTATAATTGTGCTCTCATAATATTTCTAAAGATAAGTTGTTTTGAAGCCGTACTTAATTAAAAAAAAAAACAACAGTAAAGTATTTGGAAGTTCAGAGTAAAATCGAAAATATCTGAAAACAATTCGATTATGTTAGAAAATGATCAGTCATGGTACAAGTGAAGGTTATATTCCTCCGTCTACTATACAGTCTTTAAGTACGACCAACACATGATCATATGTTAAAGTGTATGAGCCAGATTAACCAGTTTGTACATGATAAATTTGGTCTAGGTTTCTTTCAGATGACATTTTTTCCCCGTATCATTAATGTATTGTTGGCATTGGCCACACTGCAGGTAGTAAGCGGCAGATTGCGAGCTTAACTGTTCAAGGTCGTAGGACAGATCTTGGATACAGTCTATTGTGTTATCATACATTTGTTATCCTCATCTCGCGCCTACAGTATTCAAACACATCACAATGACAGCTAGCTTAATCTTATTATTTTTTGGACATCTTAATCCTAGCCAAGCTAGAGTGAAAGGCTAGCCGTTTAAAGCTTTGGACTAAATTATTATGTTTAGTTATACATTTCGAATATTACCACAGAAATGTTCATCTGAAAACACCAATCATTTCTCTAATACTGAAAGGCTTGGTCTTAACGACACGGCAAGTGATCACAATAATTATTAATACTGTAAATCTAATTTAGCTACTTAATACGAATGGCTCCCATTTCCTCTTGGTTTACAAATGAAATATATTAAATTACTGATCAATGGGAAAATAACGATGTTTTGGCATGTTTTCTATGCATTAAGTTCTGTAAAAATACGTGAATGTTATGAGTATGAGAACGCCTGGATAATTCCCTAAATATAAATGGCCTTTGTAAGAACATTTTTTATTTACTTAACTACAATAAATAAACAAAATAATAATAAGTATACCCACTTGAAATTTTAATACGTTGAGGAGTGTTAAATTAAGTAACTCTTTGTCCATTGGAATATCCCTTGGGTCCAACAACTTTGTAACTAATACATGTTTATAGAACCACACCAGAATTCGACTTAATCATATAAAACTAGTGAGGTTAATGTGAACTATAATCTACGAATAGGTTGTTTTTAATGGCAACACGAGTTTGGTACGCAGCATGTAAACAAATGAAAAAAAAAAGACTGACACGTGTGTTTAATTTACCTCTTTTGAAGATCCAAGCTCTTGTTCAAATTCTCTACCTAATTACTTAAATTTTCAAGATTTTTCATTGGTTCTTAAAATATTAAGTTCCAGAAAACAACTAAAACAATATTATGTAGTAACGTCATCATTATGTAATTTCATAAACGATTATAGTCCTGAATGACGTGATTAAGACAATTTCACACCTAGACTGAATATGTTAAATATAGAATCTGCTTACAATCCAGGTCCCCTGGTGGACCAAAGAAGACTGAAAAAGTCACTGATTTCATATGTTGAGTGACCCATACTACTGTATTTTTTGTAATGCACTATTGAATTTAAACATTGTTCCTGTTATAAGATTCAATTTATACTTTACTTAAACCTGAGAAAAAAACAACAAAACAGTTGGTATGATTATTGGAGACGTTATATAGTATTATATATAATAACAAAAAATATAAAATGCTGCAAGTGTATCATGAATAACGCATTTTATTGATTTAGTAACATGTAAATATTAATATATAGTCTATTAGTCCAAACCAACGCCCATGTGACTCAGCATTACACTTGAGGCCTTTTATCGCTAAATTTTGGGTTCGATACTCAAGGTGAGCACAGTACAGATAGCGCGTGGTGCAGCTTTGCGCTTAACCCCCCCCCCCGCAAAAACAACAACAAAAAACTTGATCAACGCTCTTGACGAACATTAATATATTTTAAGTAATAACTGTAACATGTCCTGAAGTTAAAAGTTTTAGTTTTACAGGTAATCATTTTAATAATGTTTCTATATAAGGTAAGGAATCATAAAACAGGCGTGGGAAAGTTAAAACCCGCGTGATTTCTTGTCAAACATAAAAGAAATGAATTCAGCGAGCCCTGTCAAAAATCTGAATTCCAAGTGATTATACCTGACTTCTTTTGTAAGCATGCAAGGCAAACTGAGCACATTGAAAGACCCTTTTATTCTGAAGCCCCAAGAAAATAAGACAGTCCTTTCTTCCTAGCTACCCTTTCCCCGGCCAGGTGTGATGGTAAGAATAACTTGGGCACTGTGAGCAAATCAGCGGGTGGGAAAGGTAAAGAAGCTCTAAGACAGAAACTTAATGATAAAATGT